GCACCCACAGGTTAGTTGCTGTGGAATGCAATCTGCATTTCATTAAAGCATAGCCTTATTAAATAAGTCTAAGTGCTAGGATGTATTCATATAGCAAACCACATATAGACTAAGGGGATTTTTTATAACAGAAAATCAACATCGCTGTCTACTCTTTAATATGCACCGCTGCCCATGCCATTAAAAAAACAGGCAGTGGGGTGTAGACAGAAATGCCCCATGGAGCCCTCTCTGCATGATGGAGCGCTCCATGATTGACAGGTCACATGACCAGGCTCTTTTTTTGGTCTTTTCACTTTTATTTGCACCCCGCCCAGTTCAGAATCCAAAAGCTAGTGCTAACCTCTTTACGCTGCTTTTAAAATGAGCCCTCAAGCTTCTCAAAGACTAGCTTCTATGCATAAATACACTTCCAAAAGAAAACCTCAGACCTATTCTTACATGAATGAATGTGTACGTTCCAAAAGGAAATTCAGCGTAAAAGCCCTAAAAAAGACAATCTACTTATCTTGAAGGAAAAAAAAAAATCAAACAGCATATGTTTTAAATGAAAACATTTGGCAGCCTACAGTAAGCCACAATGTGGAGATTTTCCTTCCCTGGTGAATTATCATGGCGTGCAGTGCTTTATACCTGCTGGATTAAGGAAAACCAGTTATAAGTAATGCATGGGGTTAATCACAGCTGACAGACTCCCTAGCTGGTAAATTTTCTTTTTTTACATTTTATTTTTAGTGAACCTTAATCACGAAGCACCCGGGTCGAGAAGACCCAGTTGGAATTGAAGGAAAGCCGAATGGAAACATTTAAGGTCAGACCTAGTTCATGCAGCACAGGAACAGGCCATAAGTATGATACAGCAACAGGACTGTTCTCCATGGTTAAAACTGACCAAAATAACATAAAGCCACATCAGATATAAACACTGTCTATTGGGGACATGAGAAATTCAGCCCTCATGCAAGTTTTTAATTAGCTGGTCTATTGAAAAGGGAACTGTAAGGCTCAAATCACACTGCTATGACACCAAAGTCATGCGAATTTCAGCATGACTTTGCATTGCGATTTGCTTGCGACTTGATTCAACTTCAATGTGATTTCAGTGTGACTTCATTACAACTTTCATGCGACTTTCCCAAATCAATACAGACAGTGACACATACAGTGCCTTGAAAAAAGTATTCATAGCCCTTGAAATTTTCCACATTTTGTCATGTTACAACCAAAACTTAAATGTATTTTACTGGGATTTTATGTGATAGACCAACACAAAAGTGACACCTAATTGTGAAGTGGACGCAAAATGAAAAATGGTTTTCAAAATTTTTTACAAATAAATATCTGAAAAGTGTGGCGTTGATTTACTAAAACTGGAGAGTGCAAATTCTGGTGCAGCTGTGCATAATAACCAATCATCTTCCAGATTTTCTTGTCAAAGCTTAATAGAACAAACTGAAGTTAGAAGCTGATTGGCTACCATGCACAGCTGCACCAGATTTTTCACTCTCTGGTTTTAGTAAATCAACCCCAGTTTGTTTTTGCTAAATTTCCTCAGCAGCCAAGAGGCATAAGAGTTCATAATATGAACATTGCAATCACTTGCATGTTTATGCCTGTGGAAGAGCGAGGGGGAGAGTAGGTGGACATCCCTGGTACCAGTTCAACATGAAGTAAAATCACAGTGGCTTAGTGGTTAGCACTTGCGCCTGGCAGTACTAGGGTCGTTAGTTTGAATCCCAACCACGGCACCACCTGCCTGGAGTTTGCATGTTCTGTCTGTGCCTGTGTGGGTTTCCTCCGGGTCCTCTGGTTTCCTTCTACACACCAAAGACATGCAGGTAGGTTTATTGGATCCTGTCTAAATTGTCCATAGTATGTGTATGTATGAATGTGAGTTAGGGGCCTTAGATTGTACACCCCTTGAGGGTTAGGGACTGATGTGAATGTACAATATATATATGTAAAGCGCTGCGTAAATTGACAGCACTATATAAGTACCTGAAATAAATAAATAAATATTAAAGCAGCCAGGAAATCCACTCAGGCAAGTTTATACTTTAAAGTCAACTTTGGCGAATCCACAGAAGTCTCCACCTGCCCCCAGTCATGATTTAGCTGTAATCCTATGGATCTGGTAAACATATTTTTATTTCTAGGGGTAATTTAAAGCTGAACTCCATCCAGTTACAAAAAAAAAAAAATCCAGGTGCATTCCTTAAAATTGCTTTTTTATAATACAGGTAGTATAAGAATTTCAGTTCTGTGATTACATTAGCAAATTAGCATTTACATCAGCACTCTGGAAAATGTTAAATCAATGCTATAAGCCTACCAGGACTCTTGTGCTTTGCACAATGCTGTCAGTCTAACACTGTTAACATGTTCACAGGAGGGAAGAGAATAAGGATGAGCAGTTGCTGCTCCTTCAATGCCCAGTTAGAAGATAGGCATCTACAGTACTGGCCTTAATTTTAGCTGTAGCATGGATGGCATGGATGTACAGAACCCAGCAGTGTTGTCCTGGATCATAAAATGTGACTATGCAGAATTCCATTTTTTGGCAGGGAAAACAGTTCATATGCACAGTATTTCAAATATGCTATCAGTTTGCGTTGGGTTCGGATTTAAAGTGGTTGTAAAGGCAGAAGGTTGTTTACCTTCACGCATTCTCTGCATGAAGGTAAAAAACCTTCTGTGTGTAGCTCTCCCCCAGCCACCACTTATATTCACCTGAGCCCAATCTCGATCCAGTGATGTGAACAAGAGCAGATGATCTCTCAGCTCTCTCCCTGCTCATTGGCTCAGACACAGCTAATCACAGCCAGTGAGGAGGAAATAAGGGGGGAGGGGCTGAACTGTACTCTGTGGATATTAGAGAGACACACAGAGCCAGTTTGGGAGTGAACATGTGCGAGTGCCCCCAGAGCAAGCAACTTGCTCTGGGGGTACTTGGCAGGGGGAAGGAAGCAGGAGCTCCAGCGGGGCCCCAAGAAGAGGAGGTTAGGGGCTGCTCTGTGCAAAGCCATAACATTTTTGTTATACTTACAGTTTAAATCAGCCTTTACAATCACTTTAAATGTTGCAGCAATTTGTTTTGTGATAACGTAGGCGGTATAGAAAGCATGACATCTGTTTAGCTTTATAGAATTAGTGATCTAATCTGAAGTCTAAATATACTTATAATTTGCTCTCAGTAATCCTGAGCAATTTCATATCAAATTCCACAAAAGTGTTAATGCCAATTAGTGCTAATGATAACAATGAAATAACTTGGATTTATAAACTAATTCAGTAGTCTATAAATAAGTTAAAACCAAAGATAACAAAACACTCCAGATAAGTTCAGCCCTGTAAGGTGTTAGAATGTATGTTATTGTAAGTGAATTGCTAACAATCCGTCAACAAGTTTAAGAGGCAAGCTCTCGTCATTTGGGTCATGTTGAAAACAAATCCTGTTTTCATTTTCTACTTTAAGATATGTTGTCTATTTTAGGTACAGTATATATTTTTGTTCAGTCTTATCTTATTAGGTAAGGTATGGAAGCATAAGATACAGAGTATCCAAGGTACACATATTGAACATATAGTAGCATAGTCCTTGGAAGGTAATGGTATGATGCTACATCGGTAGGATATCAATATCTTAGGCTTCAATGCTAGAAAAAGAGAACACATCTCTAAAATGTTATTGTGTAACCCCTTCCCACAATAGGTCATACCCATATGTTCTCTGGTTGAAGTGGCTATACCAGGGCTATGGCTGCAGCTGCAGTTATGACCCCAGTATCTTTTTTTTTTTATTCGATGATGCTGAAAAAAGTAAAAGCAATCCTAGCGGCTAATTAGCCGTTGGATCGCTTTTACATGTGGCAGAAGAGGGTCTCCTCCCTCCCATTGCCCACCAGGGACCCTGTGACTGAAGTCAGCAGTTCCACTGGCTGACTATAAAGATGACTGAGGACCTAAACGTCCCCGATCCTCTCTAGATAGCAGATGTGACAAGTATTTTGTCGCTTCTAGTTTTGTTCTAATTTAAACAGGTATTACAGGCCTGTGAAAGCATCTGGTCAAACTGCACTATTTGTGAGGTGTCGCCTTGAATTTCATAGCGAGAGTGTAACTCTAAAAGGGCAACCTGTAAAGGCTTTTAAAACATTGCCTATGGATATTTTTAAGTACCATAGTTTGTCGCCATTCCATGATGCACACATTTACTCGGCGTAACATAATCTTTTAGATTTTGCCAAACAAATGGGTATTGTGTTTTTGTGCATTAAAATTCTTTAAAGTATATTTTTTCCAAAAAAAGCTGTGTTTGAAAAACTGCTGTGCAAACACCGTGTGACGTAAAATTTAAACACTTACCAGTTTATTTTCTATGGTCTCTGTTTAAAAAAATATATGATGTCTGGGGGTTCTAAGTAATTTTCTACCAAAAATGGCTGATTTTTACATTTATGTGAGAAGTGTCAGCATAGGCTTGGGCAGCAAGTGGTTACTTAGATTGTAAGCTCCAAGGAGCAAGGCCCTCCTAACCCTCTTGTATTGAACTGTATTGTTGCTGTATTGTCTCCCATTATATTGTAATGTGCTGAACAAACTGTTGGCGGTATGTAAATCCTGTATAATAATAATAACTACCTATGAAAGGTAATTGGACCTGGTCTGTCTTTCAGAACTATCAGAGAATCCTAGGTTAGTGCTGAGGAATCGATGCCATTAAACTGGTTAGTTTTAAAATTTCCATATACTGGTTTACACATGGCTTATTTAAGAATATATTTTTGAGAAGGAACAAACAGGTGCTTTGTTGATTGCTTCAGATTACAATAACAGCAAATATCTGTTTTTTGTGGCCAAATGAAGACATTATGTGAAAAAAATTTCATTTTAACAGTACACTACAGTGCCCACAAAATATGCTGTACTTGTGGAATTATATATTAAATATATTGTATACATAAATATAAATACCAGTAGAGATATTAAAAAAAACATACCAGAACATGCAGTTTGCCTGCAATATTGTGCGTCTTGATAACCCAGTTGACTGCCTTTTCACATTTCAGAATTAGAACAAGACTCTTGGAAAGTTTGGCATCTGGATTGAATGGCCTGATGTCAATGATTATGTCCACCTGGAATGAACTAAATGGGAACAATGAAAACAGAATGAAGATGAATGCCAGTTATCTCCAGTCAGTTTAACATCTTCTGCTCCAACATATGATCAACCAATTAAATTCTGCACTGCTCTCCAAATTGTGAAACATGTGCTAAACAGACTGCACTAACAAATGGCAACTGATAAAAAACAGAACTGGGTGTCTTAGGAGTCATCTACAAAATAAACGTTTAGGATAGTTCTCTTAATACCAAAACCCTGTATGCTATGCATATGGAGGGTGGACAAAATAACAGAATGTAACGAAATTACAAGTACAATTAAAAAATGTATATTAATTTCACTTCAAATTAGCATGCCAGGTATAATTAATTTTCAATTAGCATTTTGATGATTCAATTTTCAAAGAGGACACTGAGGAACACCAATATGGGTCAAAAAGTTTTAATAAACAATCACATAGTTGCAGCAAGGCAATGTGATCGTTTTATTAACACTTTTGGACCCATATTGGTGATCCTCGGTGTGCTGGTGACATTCTCCCTTGCTGATCCTGTTCGATTCCAGCCGATGGTTGCTGCAGCACCCACTAATACACACAGCCATTTTTAACGCAGGAACGTTTGCATTTGGATTGTACACTTTCAATTTTCAAAGAAACATGATACAACTTGGTGATTTCTAAAGATGGTAAACAGTCAATGCTCTGTGAACCATTATTGTTTAAAGCTGTACTGTATGTCGTAAGTTTAGAAAACAATTAGAAACCACCTATATCTAACCCAATGTTCAACACCACTTGGCCTGGTGTAAGGAGCCCAAAACATGAACATTAACAATAGAAAAAGTTTTATAGTCGGATGAGTCATTTCGCATTGCTGGAGTGCATATTTGTGGGATTTCAAACAATGATATTTCCCGAAAAACATCAGTTCAGCAAGATGATGTCTCAGAAAATGGATGGAAGCCAGAATCTGTGTTGCTATGGGCTATTTTTATAGCAATAATATGGCGTTCGTTTTTTTAGTTACATGTGTTGTTTTAGAAGCTTGATAGGCTAATGAATCAATTGGACTGGTTCGTGAAGCTCAGGTTACAGGATATGATGTAGGCAGGAAGTTGGAGAAGGGGAAAATTACTTTGAAAAAGCCATGTGCCCAGGAACACATGAAACTGTTGTTTGCAAGACTTCAGAGAAGCAAGAAGTAGTCTGAGAGAGATCCTGCATCCTACAAGATGACTACATCACAAAGATAGACCCAAGTCAAGGAACTATTTAGTGTACAGTATGCCCACCACATACATTGTACATGCTTATTTGCTAGAAAGAATAGCTATCTTGTGCATGTTGTAGGCATATTTTGCAATACCTTGTATGCTATACATTGTTTATCCTGCAGTTGCATGTGCAGCCTGTTTAGTAAAGCAAACATGAATACACCACAGAGGTTTTCTTTAAGCTTCCTTGCTTTATTGCAAAGTAACCTTAATAGACGCAAAGCAAAACAGAATCCAGAGTATTTTTTTTACAATGCAACATTTTTGGCACCCTTTTGAAACAGTTGGTGGAGCTGGTGGGATGTCATTAAAGCAGAACTTACATGTCTATGCATGGTCCACCTTACTGCCTGACAGTATTTCTACACACAAGATTTTGGCTGAAGTTGGGTAAGAATCTAATTCATGGGTGGTACCAATACTACATAAAATGTAACCAGTTTCCCTAGAAGTGTCATCATTCTGGCATTACAAAAACTGATTTATTCTTCATTATTGTCTATAGTAAACTCAATAATGGTATAAATGAGAAATATGTACATTGATTGTGATACTTTTTTATCTGTAAGAACTGCAGTTGACTTGTTGGTTTGGAAGGGCCCAGGTTTCAGCTGTAAGTAATCCACCCCCGCTCGAGAGGAAATTAGCACTCTTGGCACTCTAAGATGTCATTAAGCTAGAGATATCCAAGTTCAGTCCTTTCGTTATTTTTAAAAAAAATATTGAAGGAATTTCATTCAAAGCACATAAAACCAGAAAAGGTTATAATACGACAGCCTAAAAATATCAAGGGTGTTTCTTGTACCAAGGCAACCAGCTGCATGGTACCTCAGATTTAACTTCCAGCGGCAATTAGGATTTGGCAAAGTAATGTGTACTAGAAATTGAAAGCATATGTGGTACTTTGACTATCTCAATGCCACCAACTCTGAGAAACATTGCTTGTGTTGACTAAACTAAAATTACACAAAAATAGAAGCAAATATTTCAGTCAGGTCCAAATTCTTCCCACTCACATGCACACAAAGAGCCAATGTCTATGCGAATGCAATCAATTTATTTATTTTTTAACATAAGTCCATCTTTCTGACCATGGTTCATGGTACGTCCATCTTTAGGGTAACATAAAACATAGTTACAGTCGGCAGTCCTCGCCCCCAAACTGCTTTTCACCCTTACAGAACCTAGGGGGTTCACCTACCCAGAGGTTCCTGTCGTTACTTGAATTTGGCACGGCTGTATGTCTCTCAGGCTGCATTTACATTTACTATGAAAACACAGGCAGAATTTTGTGTTTCTGCGTGCATTTTAAAAAACAAAGCAAAACCTGTATGAAGTGCCATTATGTCTTAATGGCACCCCAAACGCAGTGCGATTTTTGCTGTTTGTTGCACAAAAAAATGCACAGAAATCATGCCAAAACATGCAACGCCAAACACCTGGCACATTAATTTCTTTGGTGTGTTTATTGCACATATGGCAGCCTATTCAAGTGAATGGGCTGCTCTATGCTATACACACAAAAATACACACACACACTAAAAAATTGTGCATTCCTGCTACACGTGGAGAAAGCCACAAATCTAATCTGACGCTATCTAGTTCCCAATGCAGCACAAGTGCAGTGACACCACTGCCCTTGCGGCCCATTGATTCTTCTTCCAGCCCTCTAACTGAAGGTCCATACCTCGGTACAGACCTGCAGCTGGAGGAATAGTCTGCAAGGGTCTGAGCATTGCACCTGCGATCTACGGCTGCAATGCTTTGCAGACTCCAGTGCAAAAAAATAACAAATGTACATTTTTTTAATAGTCAGCGTGGACGCATTTATTATTTTTTGCATAAAGTAAAATTAGCCTTGAAAAAAAAAAAACTTCAAAACTATATAGATACTAGACGTAAAGGATAAGTTCACCTTTGGTTCACCATTTTTAGGGTGGAACATGTAACATGTTCCAGCATCTGTACCTTCTCCCTCCTCCCTGTGACAGCAGGCGGGGATCCTCTCCCTGCACCCACTGTCACAATTTGAAAAGATACCACTCTGCAGCTCTCTGGCCATATGGCCATATCATTCATTCACAGTTTCCTGTGAATTAATAGACTACACGTACCATCAACCATTGCAGCTGACAGCGTGTAGTTCTCAATGAACTATGAGGACTCTGGTGAGCATTTTTGTAGTTCATTCATCTTCCTGCTCTCAAGTAACTGCCTGTCCATATCATAAGTATGGGCGTACAGCTATCCTGACAGTCTGCAGGAACCTGACATTGCATCCATGATCTGCTGATTGCAGGGGCGGACTGACAACTCATGGAGCCCCCAGGCAATAGGGGATCATGGGGCCCCTGTGTCCTTGCCCAAACTCAAAAAAGCCTATGAAAAAAAGGTACCAGGGGCATCTCATGGGGCCCCCTACTGCCCCCGGGCCCTCGGGCAGTGCCCAAGTTTTCAAATGGTCAGTCCGCCCCTGGCTGATTGTGGGTGCAATGCTCTGCAGGCTCCTTAGAAAAAAATATTTAATGCACATTTTTTTACCTGCAATGATTTTTTTTTCAAAAGGTGAACTTATTCTTTAATAGCTGATCAAATCAAAACCGCCATCTTTACTATCTGCAGGTAAAAAATATGAACAGCTGATTTAAAGCTGACTTTTTTGTTCAGTTATTTTACCTATGTGATGAGTTGCTTGGAGAATCCAGCTCAATTATGTGGACTGTTGTGTCTTCGTTCTGGCTAATAATACATCCCTCAGCAGACTGAGGTTGCACATAGTGAGCAAGATAATTCAGTGATATAAAGTTCTTTTCTATTTTGCATGTTGCAGGAAATTTTTCATCTAAAAATAAAAAAAAAAAAAATTCACATTTTTTTTACAGACATACTAGACTGATGCATTTTCTAGATACGTCAAACAGTTATGTTAGCTATATCACACCTGGGCATTCTAAATATCATGAAGATTTTTTACTTTTTTGCAAAGGTAGTCAATTCCTACACAAAGAAAATCACAGTCAGAGTTTGAGTGGTTGTAAGGCAGGCCATAGGCAGTGCGAATTTCTTTTGCTGCAACCAGACATTGTTGACAGGGGAATCCCTCCCGCCAAGCCATTGTGTTCACCTGGCAGGGAAGGGGGGTGGTAGAGGTGCAGCAGGAGCCGTCCCCACCAGGGAAAGCCTGTGATTATTGCTAGAGAAAATTGCATGTAAAATCCGGCAGGCTGGTTGTACCCAAGCTGATTGATCAATCAACTTGGGTATATTCAGCCTACCCATACATGGTTCGAATCTCATTCGGTTCCTGCTGAAGCGGCCGAGATTCGAGCTGTCTATGACTGGCTTAAGGGCTCGTTCACACTTGGCTGTTTTACCAACGCTTGCCAAACGCCCCTATAGCGTTTGGCAAGCGTTGGTCCAGCGTTTGCGGAGCATTTTTTAACACTCGGCAAATACTCCGCAAATGTCGCATGCGCGGTTTAGCGGAGTTTGCTAGGCATTTGCCGAGTGTTAATAACGCCCCACAAACGCCTATAATGCAGTTTGAGTGGTGTTACTGCTCCGCAAATGCCCCGCAACCGCGTTGCAACCGCCAGCAGGGCGTTTGCGGAGCAGCACCATAGACTAGAATAGGAGGCTTCAACGCCTCCTGACTCGACCAGAGGCGTCCGTTTTGCCGCGACGCAAACGCTCCCGTTAGAACAGCACGATGTGCTGCAATGTGCAGAATTGGCAGAGGCGTTTGGGAAGCAGTAAAAATGCTTCCCAAACGCCTCTCTGCCGCCTGCACACAACGCTAGTGTGAAAGTAGCCTAAGAGTCATACACGTTTTATACAATAATTCCGACTGACTCTCAAGTACAGAACCGAATGATTGTTATACACATAGCAATAGATCAAGACAAGCTACTGCCAAAAGTTGAAACAATGAAACAACTAAAACTCTTTGTGGAAGGTTGCCTTGATCAGTTTGTTTTTGCCCCATGAAAGCTTTATTAAAGCGTTTTAGCACCTTTGTTTTTTCTCTTACCGTTTAGATGTTTCTGAGTAGAAAGTGTCATGGCTGGCTGCAAGCACAGCATGATCTATCAATAGCTGGGCTGGCCATAAATGTGCATTCCTAAAATGTGTCCAATAAAGTGTATGTCAAGCTAAAAACTTATTTTTTTCTAGTTTAGGATAGCACAGAGAAGGATTAGAAGTCCTGGTGGTTTTCACTGCTGTCATGAGCTCCCTTAGAGATAATTAACCTCACTTCCTGATGACAAGAGTTTCACTGGACAGGAAGTAAAGGAAAGTATGCAACAGGGACACATAGAGCAATACAAAGTGGGCAAAATATCAAGCCTTCCCTATTCTGCTAAAGAAAAGCTGTTTTAATTCTCTGTATTTTCCTGCTGGAGAGTGTCTCTCACTTCATATATGTAAAAATGTTGTTAGCAGAACAGGAAGTGAGGATAAATCTAGGAGCCTAGAAAATCAGTAACAGCCTGACAGAATTTCTACATTTTCTTTAAATGTAGAACAGACATTTTGACTTTAAACTATAAAGAGAGCTTAAATAGTAGCAATTTGAAGTGATAATAACAATTCCAAAATATTAATTCAAGAGAAAATAAAGTTTTGTTGAATCATGTGGAAAAAAAAAATGCCATGCCTATGTAATAATTATGTTTCTAAATTGAACATTTTGACAAAAAAATGATCATGGAATAACTAATGGAAATAAATAATGATTCCACACCTATGTCATTTTTATACTCATGACCTGAACAGTTTGATATCAAATTTATCATGAGATAAACCAATTTAAACAACCCATCCATCTTAGCAATTTTTGCCTAGTTTGAATATACACCAGCAGCATTACGTTTTTTTGTACTGCCAAACAACTTGATTATTGTTACTTGATGTTTAATTATTAATAACACAATACCTTAAAGACAATGGCAACTCAATATTTGACTAACCTTCACCCACTTTGATGTCTATTCGTTTGGTCATTTTGACCTCTGTGAATGACGTAACAGCCCCATAGTTCCTCTGAGTCCACTGTAACAGGTGCTCATTCCCAGAAGGGAGAGGTCTTTCTTCGGTTTGTGCAGACGCAGAGAAGTTACCTGCTTCATACTGAACAGTTGAGCCTTGTGATACCTACAAGACAATACATTTTGTATTTTTAATTGATGAGCACCTCAGAGTGAACATGCTATTCAACTGATTTTTAATATTTAAAGCAAACTCCCCCATCCATCCATGCCTCCATACTTTATTTTACTGAGAAATCACTTTGAAACTTATCCCCTAGCGTTTCTGGCAGTGGCCATCTTAAGTAATGGCAAATGATTTGTTTAGTAGCCTTTACTTCCTGAAATCCATCTGCTCTTAGCTCAAGCATGTAGACAGGCTGGTGTACTTAGCTGAGAAAACCCCTCCTTCCCACTTTCCTTTCTGAAGACACCGGGATTTATGACATCATTTCCCTAGGCATAGAAATCAGGAAGTAACTGAAGAAAAGTAAAATAAAAACGTTTAAAACAAGTAAATTATATATATACCTTCCTATCATTTTACTAATGCTAGCAGGAGAAGGAGTAAAAATAGTCAGTGTTGAGAATGAAGTTTAACTTTAACATGTGTGTGGTGGTGGTGGGCATCAGTTGGGGGCTTTTTATGTAAGGATAGAAAGTGTCCACACAACAGTTTTGGCTTAACACTGTCCACAACCAGCTTTCTTACTAGCCCAGTGTCAAGTTGGCCATACTCATATACATTTTTTTCTCTCAACCTATGGGTACAGATTTCTCTGTACACACTAGACCAGGGGTGTCAAACTGTATTGTATTTTGTCAAACTGGCGGCCCTCCAGCTGTTGCGAAACTACAAGCCCCACCTTGCCTCTGCCTTTGGTAGTCATGCTTGTAACTGTCAATCTTGCAATGCCTCATGGGACTTGTAGTTTGGAAACAGCTGGAGGGCCACCAGTTTGACACCCGTGCACTAGACAGTGCAAATGGATGAATATTTTGTTACAGCAATTGTATTTTGACAACCAGTGCTGCCACAAAATACCCAAGCAGTGCCTGCATCTGACTGGAAAACACATCAAATGGGGACTTTTTATCTGACTAAATGCAGACACTGTTTGGCTGAAAATGATCTGATTGACTCCTTTGATTTTTTTATTTGGATAATGTCATGCTGGAGTGGGCTGACAGGACCATACGTGCAGCAAACTTCCCTTGGTTCATCAGGAATGAACTATGCTTTATGTATGGCCAGCACTGGATACAAAATAAGAATCTTGTTCACAAAGAAGAAATGAACATAAAATAAACCCTAACTACACAAAATCACTTTCTAACAGCTAAATCACCCCTGTCGCAGCATGGTGTCTCTCCGTAGAGCAACATGCTCTCCTTTACCCAAGGCTGGCAGTTCTGGGAGAACTTGTAAAGGTAGCTGTCTCCTTTATAAAAATTTGTCAAAGCAATGACCTAATTACCCTTGATTAATCAAGCTGCTCAGGAATGTGTACCCTTTCCTAGCCAAACTGGCTTTCCTTGTTGATTTAAACAGACATAAGCGAGCATCACAGAAACCGATAGACGTCTTCTATAATTCATCCACCCAGTGCTTTTCTATAAATATATATATACAAGTGACCATAACTATAGATGATCTGATAATCTGGGCTATTTTAGATCTAGTTTAGCTCCATTTTAGACAAAAGAAGACAGCAAAATTAAGTTTGGTAATTTTCTTCAATAGGATTTACAGAAACGTAGATCTACACATGGCTCCCAAATCTGCATTTAAAACTTTAAAAAACTAACAAGCCACCCAAAACTCATTGTGACCCTCAAAATTTGGATATGTGCTTAAGCCTTCATTGGAATTACTGAAGAGGAAAATACCTTTATTTATGGTTACATGTTTTATGTTTCTTTATTATTTATAATAAATGTTTCTATTTCAAATTAACATTTAATACACCAAATACCCATGTCACAGGTGTCACTGAGAGTTGTTGCTTTCTAAGTAAATAACACAGAAAAGGCTGTTTGCTTTCAGACTGTCTCTTTCTAATTAAAAGAACCCTTAAGCTACTGAGATCTGTAACGAAAATTTTTCTAAAAGAACCTAGGACTTGACCTGCTGGTTGAAAATGGGTTAAAATTAAAAATTCATATGTAATATATAATCATAACGTAAGTAAAATTTCCAAACAGTGCTAACAGATATCTGATATGTTTAAACATTTGAAAGGTGAACTCTAAGATATTCCTTTGTATAACCATCAGCTTTTAATTTACTTAAACAACAAATGAGCAGTTTTTTCCTAACACCTGCTGATTTCCAATATTTTAAATCCCTCTAGGGAGCTGCAGCTAAGGTGTTTTATCAAAGTTATCACACGCTATTATTCTGAAGCTCTTGGAAAGTTACAACATGAGTCAGATGTTATGACAGCATCGACCCTGACTGTTACACTAAGCAATAAGAACGTATGGAGTGTTTGGATATTTTATCACACACAATGCCAAAATACAATGTTGATTTCTGAAGAAAGAAGTGCCTTTTTTAAAAAATACTTAAACTTAAGTATAATACTTAATACTTAACTTAAAAAAAAGTTACTTTATGTGAATGAGCTGGTACCAACATTCAAAATAACAATAAACAACCCACTCAAAAAAATATTCACTGTGCTGAAAGTGAGAAATGTAACTTTTCATGTAAATTGTAATTTTACAAACAAAAAAGCCCCAGAATATTGAAGTTTTTTGTATGGGTCACCCATATGGTAAAATACTTCTAACTCTATGAATAAAAAAGTACATCCTTTTATTTCATTGTATAAAAAATGTGTACTGCAAACTAACACAAACATAGCATGACAGACATTTAATAAGCTGTCATTTTAGATAAAGAGGCCCAAAAATGGATGTAAATCCTAACAATGAACTTATATTTGGTCCATTTTGGTCTGTTAAATATACAATTGCCAATTCATCTATCAACTTGGGTACAATCAGCCTTTCAAATTTTTTGATATTCGGTTCATGCCAGTGGCTATAGCCGCTAGCAGCAACCATTGCATTCTGCCTGCTGGGAAAACAATAATAGCGCTGCGGGGAGGTGGCGGAATCAAGCGTTTTTCTTTTTTTTCACCCATGGTGGAAGGAAAGAAAATTGAGTAATCTATGAACTGCTTAACTTTGTGAGCTTTCCGCCTGTGCTTACTGTTATCAATTATATTATTCTCAGCTATCTATGAAAACCACAGCCCTCTATATTATGGAGAGAACGGAGGGGTTCTGTAACCTATATAACAGAAAAAAGTAACAATTTCACCAGGATCCCACTTGAAAGCTAAGAAAAACTGGTGGCCTGATAGTGTCTCCAGTGTCACTCGTAGATGTAAAATAGGATACAGCAGGATACTCAGTAACATCCAGTTGCAGTTATATTTATTTAGCTTGAAGGCGAGTACAGCATAAGTATGCTTACATGCTTCGGCCATGGCCATGAGGCCTTAATCATAGCATCTGCAGACCTATTTTGTTTCTGTTGTCCTAATACAAATGGATGAGTGCATTGTGACCAAGAAATGTGTTACTGGCAGAATTACTAAGTGGAAATAAAGGGACAAAGCTTTAAAAATTAAAACTAATATAGCCACCACATCTAACAACTGCTAAGTTGCAATATAATATATTTATTGTTATGAAAATAAAAAGGGGAGATAGGAGAACCCTTATAGTGCAGAATATGGATAGTATTTTTTAATGCCAAGCCTTTTAAAATATGAATGTATGCAAAAAAAAAAAATTAACTATATGTATATATATTTCAGGTACTTATATAGCGCAGTCAATTTACGCAGCGCTTTAGATATACTGTATATTATACATTCACATCAGTCCCTAACCCTCAAAGGGCGTACAATCTAAGGTCCTAACTCACATTCACACATACAATTATTAGGGCCAATTTAGACAGGAGCCAATTAACCTACCAGCATGTCTTCGGAGTGTTGGAGGAAACCCACACAGGCACAGGGAGAACATGCAAACTTCAGGTAGGTGGTACCATGGCTGGGATTCGACCCAGCGACTTGAGTACTGCCAGGCAGAAGTGCCAACTACGTAGCCACTGTGCTGCCTATATATATATATATATATATATATATATATATAAAATAATGCTTGGCGAGGTTGCAAAAAACCAACTTGTATGGTAAACGTAACCTTCCTGTGTACTGCATTGTTGACTGTATTTACTGAAATGACGTATAAGGAACATTTCCAAAGAGCAAGCTGAGCCCCAAGATTGCTTTTGTCTCTGGATGGACTGTCTAATGGTTGTACCTGGAGAGATCCTGCATACAACTATATTAAATGCAAATGAAAAAAAACAAAAAGAGGGTGCACCGGCCTAGTGCATTATCGTTTAAAAATATTTATTGAAAGAATAAAAAAGTAGGTATCATACTCAATGGACATATAAAACATAGGCAAATCACAATGAAAAAAGGTGTTCAATCCATATAGCATCTGAGTCCACAACGATGGAACCCTGGATGACCAACTGGCTGATGCATTTCAAGCTCTCAGCCTCTTCCTCAGAGACCTCGAAATACGTCAGCCAGTTGGTCATCCAGGGTTCCATCGTTGTGGAATCAGTTGCTATATGGATTGAACACCTTTGTTCATTGTGATATGCCTATGTTTTATATGTCCATTGTGAGTATGATACCCACTTTTTTATTCTTTCAATAAATATTTTTAAACGATAATGCAGTAGGCCAGTGCACCCTCTTTTTGTTTTTTCATTTCATTGCATTTAGTGATTTTGGACTACCCCGGTCCATTGAGGGCAGCAAGCAGTGCATATTCCAGAACATTCACATTGTCATTCTAGCCTCTGCTGAGTCCATCCCCAGCGCAGGAGTAAAGAATTTGCTGTGTTTGATACAACTATATTAAACTACAGTTAAAGGCATTCATAGGAAAATGATTCTGCAACAATATAATGCTAAAGCAAGTTTCTTGTGCTGTAATTACATATAATACCATGGATACTATGACTATAAGAGACTACAAGGAAAAAAGACTCCCTCTGCATACATAACAAAGAAACCACAGAACCTTCTATGCTGTAATTACACATGATGCTGCGGGTAATATGACTAC